CCCCATATAATCTCATAGCCTACATAAGCAAGTAAAACTTTTTTTTTTTTTTTTTTAGTTTTCTGCTTTTTTTGGTTAATGAATTATTCTCCTACTTGAGTAAAATTTTACAAGCTCTTTGTGCCTTTCCTCTTTTCCTACAAAAACTGAAATGACAAAGCTCTTTCAAATTTACATAAATTTACAAATGATGTTAAACTCTGTCTTCCAACTGCTTCATAGTAAATGCAGTGAGGTGGTGGGGGAAAAAGCTGCGTTCTATGGTTTTGGCAGGAATATTAACTAATATAACCTCTTTGAAAATTGGTTTGGAGAATCCGCAAACAGAAGATGTCAATTGCACCTAATTCAGTTATCTCTTTCTGGGTAGCTTCCTCTGAGTTAAAGTCATGTTATAGTGGTGTGTGTGTGCTGTGGCTCTAGCAGCACAACTCACAAGAGCTGCACTGTGAAGACGGCCTCTCTGTCCATCCACTAGTGAACTGATAAAGAAAATGCAGAATATATGCATAGCAGAGTACTGCTAAGTCGTGAAGAAGAATAGATTTAGTCACCTGTAAGAAAGTAGATGCATCTTGAGCCCATGATACTAAATAAGTAAAACACAGAAAGTTAGATATGGAAGAGGGGTTGTTGTATATTAGGGGAAAAAAAAGTAAAATTTAAAAAAAAAATAGAAAATAGAGAATGGGCCTGCTGATGTTGCAGACATAGAAAGCCAGAGGCGAGAGGAGGAAGGAAAGAGAGGGAGGGGGACTGAAATTTAGAAAGATCAAAAGGAAATATGGGCCGGCCAGATAGCTCAGCAGATTAAAGGAAATATGGGCCGGCCAGATAGCTCAGCAGATTAAAGCTCCTGCAAGCAGGTGCAGCGGCCGGGCGGTCAATCCCCGGGCCTGTCGTGCCAGCTCTGCCCCTGGATAGCGCTGGGACAGCGAACAAGACTGGGCGTTGTGGCGCGCGCCTGTAACCCCAGCTCTTGGCAGACTGTAAACAGGCGGGTCACTATGAGTCCAATCTACTAGTGAGACCCTGAACACCCTGTAGATCCTTCCCTAAAAAGTCCAAAAAAAGAAAAAAAAAAGTGAAATATGCATTGACCTGTTCCCCACAGTGAAAGTAGTTATTTCATACTACGAACATATGCTAATAAAAATGAGAAGAGACGGTTTCGTCTGACATCAGCAGTTGTTAATGCCTTTCTTTACTTTTTAGATCTACAGATGCACCAGGTAAGGAAAAGTAGATCACCAGAGTGGAACTCTAACTGCAGCTAAGCTGGCCGCTGGGCTTCTGCAAATCCTGAACCCTACATGCACTTGTGGGGGTCACTCGTGGGGGCTGGGGAGATGGCTCAGTGGAATAGGCGCTTCCCTGGCAAGGGCAGGGGCCTGAGTTCAATCCACTTGTGCAGCATCTGCCGCAGATCCAAGACCCCTCAAATTCGTGAGCAAATTAATGTCTCAGTGAAATTGATTTTGTGAACACACAGAAGAGCCGGTGATGTTCGCCACTGGGAAAACCTTTGGTTCAACCGGCGACACCATGAAACACCCAATGACGCGTCCATCCGTAGAAGCGGGCTTTGGCTCAGTTGCTGTCCGTTGCTGTTCCGTCTGTGTCGAGCTGCAAGGTAGCGGGCTAACATCAGATAAGTGTTCTTGGTTGGCAGCTACTGTAAGCTTCCATGCGGGTTTTCACAGATGCAGATGAAGAGGATGTGCTGAACTGAGCAGGACAGTTAAGTATGCAAAGACCTCTGCAAAAAGGATGCTGCTTACACCAGCACCTCTGTCTCTCTACTATGACATGCAAGGAATATACTAACATACTCTCATTTCACTTTCATAAAAGTCTTGAGCCGTTATTATCGCCATTATACACAGAAGAAAATGATGTGAACGCAAAGAAAGAGAAATGAAGATCCTGCAGGTAATTCTCAGCCATCACCCAGCTAATATGTATTGAATTCTGAGTCCCAGACTCTTCTACGTACATGTTCCTCTGTCCACTCTGAGGTAGTTGCTATCATTGTGGAGACAGAATATAAAAGAGATTTAGTAATTGGACCCAGGCCACATACTTAAGAGGCGCAGGTGGAGTGCCAAGCTAGGAATCCCTCTGCACAACTGACACACAAGCGTAGGGATGTAAGGACTGTCACTCTAGGTTCAGTATTAAGATTAATTTTCAGCTTATTTTAAGGACTATTTTTCTTTCATAGTAAAGTTCAATTTTTTAAAAATTTTATGTGTTTAGTACAGGGTCTCACTGCCAGACATGTGGTGATCCTCTTGTTTTCAGCCTCCCCAGGGCTGGGATTTCAGGCGTGCACCATCACACCCCAACTCTTCTGGAGCTTGGTGCACTCTGGGGGCACAGCATGTGATGCCAGGGAAGGAACCCTGGTCCCTGCACTTGCCTAAGCAGGCACTTAATCAGTGAGCTATCTCTGTGACCTATGAAGTTCAATCTGGTTCCCATTTATAAATTTGTGATTAAATTTACTTTACATATCCATTTAACCATCACTGATAGGGAATCATGGCAAAAAAATGTAGAGATTACTGGGATTATGTGGTTATTTTTCTCTGATAATAATTATATCATCAATTCAAAATATAGAATGAGATTAACCTCTAACGGCTAAAGATTTCACTGTGGTAATCGTGGTCTTATTTCTGTATGCTGCTTCTTGTAATACTGCGCTAGTGACACACACTTGTTGCTATCTGAGAGTCTATTTTGGTAAAGAAACAGATATACCATCAGCTTTTCCATAAATTGTACTTGTTACTTCAACCACTGTTGTAAGTAGAAAACTGTCTCACCTCCTACCCGCACTTCGCCTGGTTGACATACAATAGCTTCTTTATAAATATAGAATTTTCAAAAATAAAGTACTTTCTTTATGGGAATGCTTAACTTTTGTCATAGTTCTCAGAGTTTAGGTTAAGGTTAATTTTGTCATAGTTCTCACAGTTTAGCTCAGCTAAAGATTAACATCTTTGTGAGCGATCGCAAGGAAATAAAGTAAGATGGTATGCATACTGAAGAATCTAGTGGAAAAGGACAACCAAGCAACCTGGATTTAGATGAGATTGTGTAAGCTTAGTTCAAATTGTAAATAATTTCAATACTAAATTAAAGTAAATTACAATTTATTTCTACAATATGCGTATATTTAGTGTGCTTTAATTTAAGGGGATCCCACAAGAAAGGAGGATTTTTCATACTTAAAAACTGAAGATAAATATATTTTAAACCATTATTCACAAACATTTTTAGTATAATATGAGCATATGATTTTCCCTAAGAATTATGACTGGGCATAGTAAGATTGATGACAGCAGCTTGGAAAATATCCCAAGGCACTAACAATTAATAACAATGTCAAGGCAGAATTTCAGTACAGATGAAAGTAAATATTTAACATAAATTCAAGGAACACTCACAATAAATTTTATACTTGGTGAAGTAGACATTATTACTTTCTTTATATAAGTTTTCCTCAAACCAAGCATGCAATATGACCAAGTTTCCCAATGTGTCCAGAGCTAATAAGCTGAGTCAGTGTCTAATTTCAGGCTGTCCTCACCCAATCTGATACGATGTTTATAACACATATTTCCTTAACACACAAAGCATTTGATGCCATCAACTATTATAATAAAAGTCATTGATCATTAGTCATGTGTTGCAAATAACAGAATTTTCTTGAGATGAGAAAATAAAACAAAACCTTCTGGTTTCTTCCCTAAGAGAAGATTCAATGTAACAACAGAGACAACTGCACTGTCGGGGAGGAGGAGGGTGGAGAATGAACAGCTGCCTTAAACATGCACCAAAAGTTTCCCAGATGTGCCAGGGAGAGAAATATTTTCCAGGAAAAGATGACAATTAATGGAAACCCCCGAAACA